TTCGATTTTTGCGGTTCGGTTATGCAACTCTAATTAGGGAAGAAGTCAAGGTTCTATTCAGATATATTAGAGCATCTACTATCTACTATTATCATAAGGCAATAAGGGTGGGTCCCAGCTTAATAATCGCTTAATAATCGCTTAATAATCGCTGAATAATCAGTCGAAATTCAGTTGAAAAATTGCCTCTTTGGGTCTAGCCTTTATGCCTCTTATTTCAGGCCTTAATTTTGTATTCCCCTGCCACCTTTCTAAGGCCCCTAAAGGTCCTACCTCCTAAGATTTAGATATTGATACTAGATGATATTTTGATATTAGTACTAGATGATGATTTGATATCCCTACTAGATGATGCTTCAATATTGAATACTATGGCATTGATATCCATACTAGGCCATGATTCGATATCGAATACTATGGCATTGAATTGATATCCCTACTAGATGATGATTTGATATTGAATACTAAGGCATTGATATCCATACTAGGCCATGATTCGATATCGAATACTATGGCATTGAATTGATATCCCTACTAGGCCATGATTCAATATTAAATACTATGGCATCGAATCGATCTCCATACTAGATGATGATTCAATATCAAATACTATGGTATCGATATCCTTACTAGATGATGATTTGATATTGAATACTAGGTCATGATTTAATATTAATATATTACTAATTTACTATTTAATATTGGTGCAGTGCTGCGTGTGTGTAAGGTGAGGGCCGTAGGTCCGAACCTCAAGACGCAGCGAGCGGAGCGAGCGCTAGCCGGCTTGTAAATTATAAGAGACTACTATAATAGCTTCCTATACACTATTCTCTCCCCTCATGTACTGTATAATTTTCTAATATAATTAGTTAGAATCAGGATGCCTATTAGGATAAAAGATTAATTAATTAACTGTGGGCAGGGAAGCATCCATGCATTGACATCAAGCAAGTTCTCTGTAGCTCGTCAATGGCAGTACAAAAAGCCAAGATGATCCTCAGGACGGGACTCTGGGTCAGTTCCAGTCAAAGTAGGCATGTTGGTCTCCACCTCTTCCACTTCCTTTCGTCAATCAAACCTAGGAATCCAGCGTGCTCCTACAGTGTCAACTGATTATCAGCATAATCTCGAGATCTTCTCGGTCGGTATCCATTATTTTGGGCACTGCTGCAGATACTTGTTTTATATGCAATAGTATCAGAACCTGATCGAACTGAAACATACTACGCCTCATCTGTTACAGCTCAGGTACGAAGAGACAACATCAACGTAGTAGCATTCAACGAAGCAATTAAGCATGGGGAAGGGAAGAAGGAGAGATGTGCGAGAGAGCGAGAGACGATCTAAATACATGGGGGATGCCTGCGGTAGCAGGCATCAAACAACCACACATGTGAATCGTCAAATCATCATCTAATTTTGGTGAGTGCTGTGGCGTCTTTTGTTGACAAGGGGGATATTGTCATACTTCGATATGCTAAAATTAACTAGCGGAAACCTTGTCATTTCTCGGGGAAATACCTCTACCGGAAACCGTGATCAGCTGACATCAGCCTCCTTGATCAAGCACCCACCAATCGAGGCCTATCGCGATTGTCTCAAGGGACCCTCGACACATCGATGGCCGACAACAACTCGCCAGATTACAAGGTTCTTTTTCTGCAGGCGGAAAAGAGACGCAAAGAGGCCGAAGAGCAACAAAAACAGGCCGAAGAGCGACAGAAGCAGGAAGAAGAGAGGAGGAAGCAGGAAGAAGAGAGGAGGAAGCAGGCTGAAGAACGACAGAAGCAGGCCGAAGAATGACAGAAGCAGGCCGAAGATGAAGGCAGACAGGAGAAAGAGAGACAAGAGCAACTTTAAGAGCTCAGCCGACCGACCACTTTTGTGGAATTCTTATGCCATTCCCATGACCTGCTCTCCCAACCGCTGAGAGTTAAGACACCATCTCGCTTGACTACCGGGAAAATACCCCTTCCCACAGGGAAATATTGCCCAATGTGATTGGAATACTGGACTGACTGCTCAGCACTACAGTCGGAGCTTTTCAGGTCTGTCTATAGCTACCTCTAGTTGACACTAGGAGGCGCGCCGTGTTTGTTCTCATCCTTGCATGAGCTAGAAGGACTAGGCCGACGACTTGGTTGCAAGCCTATAAGCAGCAAGCAAGAACTTAAGGCTTATGAGTGGTTCGCTGTGGAAGAGCACATCAATAATATAATAACAGAGTTGTGCAAGATACCTGCTGCTTATGATGAGCTCAGCCTCAGCGATGGCATCCAGTTCAGTAATTATATGAATTCCTTGAATGATAACAGTGCCATTGAAGCAGATATAACTTAACTATTAAGTGTATACCACCCAAGACCTGACTAATTCTGTATTCATCATGTCGACCGCAATACTACCACTCTCCTTACATCAGTCAAGTATAAGCTGCCTCACAAGCTTTCTGTCACCACCCTTCGTATGGGGCTCCGACCAATGGACTTATGGAAGGATATGGTTAGATCAAATAAAATACCTACAAACCAGGAAGTGAAGCTGAGGTATAATGCTGAGTAACTTGTCTGCTCTGCTCTTGTCCAGGAGTATCATGTAATGATTTAAGAAGGGCTCAAATTCTCCTATGTGACTAACAGGATTGCTCAAGTTCTCCTCTGTGTTCCACATGACGATCCTGGCATGCTCTACTACTTTCTATGTGATCCTAACAGTGAAGTGAGCACAGAAATTAAAGCTACCTTTAAAAACACTTCTGTTGCAAGAACACTATGTCTGTGTTTAATGGCATTCCACTCGCCTGTGTAAAGTCAGGAGTGGAGGAATTCTGTATGACCAGGCATTCCTATATGGATGACCAGTTTTAATCATACTTGCTCTGTATTCCTAAAGACAAACTCCAGCAACTCCCTCTCAACTCTAACAGTACTGTCCCAGACTTTCCAAGCCCAGATTCTGATTTGACTTATGAACTGTCATCATCTCCGCCAGATTCCCCTGAATCAATAGCTTGTCAAGTGTCTACTAGATCTTGAGTTAGCTGTGCCCCATCCAGTGTGAGGCATCGCTCACAGTTGTCATAATCACCAGGCCCTAATTCAAACCCAGCAACACACCGCAAACAAGCCTCCAGTCAAGTTCTGTCTTCGCCATCAGCCCAACACATGGCTTAACAAAGACATGCAAATAATGATAAAGGCCTAGACAGCCAGTCCCACCACCGCAATGCGTAATTTTACACCTAGTGATGTTTACTCAGGTTACAGTCTGGCAGTGTTCTAGATAACTATTATCTAAATATAATACTCTATTATTAAAATAAAGATAATCTGCAGCATCTAATCACCTTAGAAGATTTAATATATTTACTCAAAGCATAATTAGACAAAAATATTAACTAATATATACCCCTTACTTTAGAGGGTGTAGGGCATATAGTGCGCTGTTTAAACTTACTTATATTATATATAGCTATACTATAATCAGAAAAGGAACCACATTAGGGCTATAGAAAGAAGTCTTATATAAAGCAGAGGTATACTAAATTCTATAGAAGGTATAAGGGTCTACTATACCTATTTTCCTAGGTATAATTAACTTAGCAAAAATTTATTTCCTTTATAGAGCTAGAGAGATTCACTATATGCTTATAATAGCCAAGGGGGGAGAAAGTATAACATTAATAGAGCTAATACCTAAGCTTCTACAGGGGATTCACTAATTAAATAAGGAAATCAGGGCTTTAGGAATCATCTATAAAGACCTTTATTATAATAATATTCTTTAGAATGAAGAGCTTAGGCAGGTATTAATTATTAACTTTTACCACTCTATATTAGAATATTAACTAACTATACAGCAGCAGCCGCAGCCACAAAATAATAACTATATTAACTAGAGATAGTTAATTTAAAACATCTTTATATAATGTGAGAATGGGTGCTTATTTTATTTTATTAGTAATTTAATTTTATATGATAACAAAGCATAAAGCATTTCTAGTCTACATCTATATAGATTAGTTAGGATTTCTACCTACTAGCATTCTTAATGCCTACTTTTTCACTACACCTATATAGCCTCTGAAGATACAAGATTCTATTTATATTAATAATTATAAATAGATCATTCAATTCTGGCTCTCAGACTTCACTTTTGTGTGATGCCATGAATCATATAAAAATGTGGATTCAACTATAAAGCTTCAGGACTGATATTATAAACTGTCATGTACGAAGGAAAGGACAACAGATCCCCGTCTGCCTGGAGTCTTTCAGCCACGGGTCACGTATTGGTACCACGGCGAATTGATGACCCAGATGATGATCCTGAGCTGGTCTGGAACGCGGCTTCAGCATATCATCAATGATGAAAATTCCAGCTTCTTTCACCAAGAGCATGATAAAGCTCTGGCCGTGCTCCAATCGCATGGAGTTGTTCACAGCGACACAGAGTGGCGTAATATGCTATGGGATGACCTGGATGGCGCTCTGGTAGTCATTGACTTGGAGGACGTGAAGTGGTTGAAGCGCCCTGTTGCCCTTGAACCAACGTCTGGAAATGCACTACCTGGTCATCGCGCAAAGGTGGGAAAATCCGGGCAGAGACTCCTGTCCAGCTCAACCGCTGTCTGCACATGACGCCCCGAGGCCTATGGCTACGCCTTATTCGAGTCGATTCATGTTCGCACCTTCCGATAACGAGGAGGGAGGAAGTATGCTCTGACTTTGGGACCACCAAACCACCAAACAGATTGCCTATGTGTGTGAACATGAGCTGCTTTGCAGATGAGCGATCGCCCGTTCTGTGATTGGTGGTAAAAAAACAATTTGTGGAGATCCGAGGCAGTCGTGTATTCTCAAGATATGTGATAGACTAATTAATTAGCGCCGTCAAAAATACACTCCCTCACTCAGTACGACTTTCTTGACCAATCTCCTCCCTGAGATTCTACCTTTCAGTTGTCCTAGGCCCCTATTTTCTCCCTCCCTTCCCTCTCTTCAATACTTTGCTTTTGCCACCCAGCTCTCCACACCAGAAACAGCATCATAGGGCGACTTCTTGCGCTCCAAAAGAAATGATAGAACTTCTGCCGGGCTAAATACTTGCTCTGGCAATTTGCTCGCAAAGTCACGAGCAAGCCTCTCGATCGTCTCGTCGTCATATTCCGAGTTGTATTGCTTTTGGTTCGGCAACTGCTTGAAAACCGTGTGGAAGAGCTGAGTCGAAATGTTCTGATCGGCAAGTTTGAAATGAACTTTCTTGTCTGAACGGCCTGGCCGAATCAGTGCTTCGTCTAGATGTTCGATATGATTCGTGGTCATGATGAGTATCCGGCCCTCTTGAGATGAGACACCATCAAGCACATTCAAAAGTCCGGATAGGGTGACTGTTGACTTTGACTCGTTTTCTTGGTCTATGTCGACGCTGTCCCGGCGCCCTACCCCACTGGTATCCACGTCCTCCAAGAGAACAATACAACGCGGCGGAAGCTCAGCAAAAAGCCTCATTAACGTGGTGTCTGAAATATTCGACAGTTGAAGCGTATAAATATCCAGTTCGTGTTTCCCTGCGAGTGATAGACTGAAGCTGGATTTTCCGGTTCCAGGGGGTCCAAAAAGAAGGTAGCCTCGTTTGTAGGGAATGCCCCGTTCTGCGTACCAGTCTTGCATATCTTGGTCGAGAAACTCGTCCACATCTCTTAATATGTCATCCTTTACCTCGTTGTCCATGATTACCGTGGAGATAGGTCGAACTGGTCTCAATCTGGCTTTCTTCCACTCCCCTTCGCGGTGCTCGAAGACAGAGACCTTTCTCTGAGTGTCCTTGAGATACTTTTATACTTTTCTCGGCAATATTCGAAGACTTTTCAGGATGTTGGCATTAAGACCAATGGAGGAGATACGGAGATCCTCTCGATGCTCTTTGACATCGCAGTGAAGAACGAGCAAATGTACGTTGTACCAAAAAAGAAACGATCCATCCCAAGGAGAAAAAGTCAAAGGCTTTTTCTTTGTTGAATAGAGGTTGTTTGTCCGCTGTGTGGATCTCACACGAGCAATCAATGAATGGGCATTGTGGACAAATGGTTGATCAGCTATCCAATCAACTAGCATATCGTATGCTTCGTCGTAGTATGAGACATAAATTGTCGAAGCTTTAGACTGTTAGACCCATCCTATTATAACAGGAGGCATACGAACTGAAGTGACTTCTCACTATCTCCCAAACATAGCGGACTGCATAGCGGGCGAAGAGGACAAACATCCCAAATGTACAAAGAAGTCGAGTGTAGCTGTCCAGGTTACCAGCAAGCAGCTGCTGTGCGGAGGCAGAGAGCACACCAAGCCAGGGGAACAGGATATCCATGAGAGGCATCTGGGGAGGGCTGTGGAAGTTTACACCTCCGTTGATGACGCTCATTGTGGATCGAAAAACCTGAAATTTACAGAGAATTGATAAATGATAAGATAGATCTTTGAATTCTTGATAATATTGGATCTCCAAAATTCCAGAAATTACCGCCTCTTATATCTGACTCGGTCGAATGTCCCTCAATCTTTGTTTCTATTGCAGCACTGTTTTCGTGCAGGGCTACATGCATATCAAAGGAGATGCGGCGCTAACTCGCATGATGCTACTTCGAAGTGACCTGTTTAGGCAGAGTGTAAATCGAGGCCCTGGCATGAACGTAACTGCATGTGGTATTGGGCGGTGCTGGCACGTGCCGTTGGCAACAACAACAACTCTCGTCAAGCTTGGTTATGGCAAGGAAACAGATGGATTGAGTGCGAATTAGCCCTGCTTTACCCCTCACTGTCAGCAAATCAGAGGCTGATGCAACAGAACTCTGCAACTGGTCCCTTTTCTTTATCTCTTTATCTGTTCCTCTGTCTCTTTCCTTCCTCCATTTCTTCCTCTATTGCTTCCTCTATTGCTTCCTCCATTTCTTCCTCCATTTCTTCCTCCATTTCTTCCTCCATTTCTTCCTCCACTTCTTCCTCCACTTCTTCCTCCACTTCTTCCTCCACTTCTTCCTCCACTTCTTCCTCCACTTCTTCCTCCATTTCTTCCTCTATTGCTTCCTCCATTTCTTCCTTCCTCTTCCTCTATTGCTTCCATTGCTTCCTCCATTACTTCCTCCTTTGCTTCCTTCATCTCTTCTCCATCTTCCACCATGGTTCAGGCTGCCAAGCGGCCCCGTTCTCGGAAGTGTCTCACCAGTGTAGAAGCCTGGGAGAGAGTAGAGTGTGTCGCCCGCAGACTAAGCGCGACCTGGCGCCTGGGAGATAGAGAGTCCAAGCAAGTTTCGACTGCATTTTTCCTACTGAACCACCCATCAGAGTCTACCGGTCATCACAAGTATCGACACTTTCTTGACCTAGTACGTCAAAAATGTGGACTGCAAGCTGTACGCTTATGCGCAGTTGCCCTTGGCCAAAATAAAGTCAGAGATATGAAGAATGCCCACCGCGAAGCGCTGATTAGTAAGATGAGTGAGGAACAACATCGGACACTAATAAACAACCAATCGTTTCCAAGCGTTCCGGGTGATACTGAAGCAGTAGCCCTCTTAGAGGGTAAGTATTGAGGATTTTTTGCTATACTGCTATGATTTTTGAAGAAACAGCTGAACTCAGACCGTCTATCCAAAGACAACCGCTCTAGTGAGAGCAAAAATCGCCGGATCTCGCCAACAAGTGAGGGAATCATCTCTCGACCTTCCAGCGAGCATGGGGGAGTCGATCTCGCTAGTGCTTCTACATATCGAGTGAACTTGGAGCCTGAACTCTTTCATGATGATGGCATTCATGAGCAACCCTTAATTTACCGTGAGATTCCGTTCCTCTTAGTTTCTCTACTTTGCTATTTTCTGATCGAAACCCAATAGATCGCCGTGAAAGTCTCGCATTTGAAGACCATTCTGTACCTATCCCAAGCTGTCGTGCTTACCAAGACCTTACGAATCCCCGCCTTGGGTTTTCAGAAGACGGTATCCAAGAAAATACAGACATCACTAACACACAAGAAATATTTGAATATGCATCTATCGACGGCATTGCTGCTGTTTTCAAAGGTCTCATTTGCGGAGCCATCAGAACAACTTCTCTCTTTGTAAACGGAATCACGCGTTCAAAGGCATCAGTGACAACTGTGTTTCCTCCTTGGGGCGCAGTCGACTGTTTACTGAGTCTCGATATTTGTGAAACAAGTGTGGAACCTCTGGCGATGGCTCTATTTAATGCAACGGTGAAATGGGTGAAAGAGTCTCTACATATTGGCTTCGCAAGGGGAACAAGCCTGACCATACCCAACTCCGAGGTCACTCTGAAAGGTGTGCATGATGAAGATATTGCCCAGGTGTTTGGTTCCGAAATACAACAGGCAATAAAACAGAGCCGTATTCGCATACAAGAGATGGGAAAAGGTAAATTGATGACTGAATGTGTGTCGATGATCATCACTGAGAAAGGAGCTATCATCAGCCTATCGCTCGGTCTCGTTCAAGGGCTAGAAATACAAAAGAAGCTATATACATAGATTGCAATCACTCGACAAAAGGTCCTTCAAAATTCTTCTTTCACCTTCCCCTTGGTGATGTATAATTTGACACCCTCTGGAACGACGCCTTGTCCATTCCGCATGTCAACAAGTTTCCTTGTCTGTTCCTGCCCTTCATCATCGATCTCGTAAACAGTGACATTACTTCCTTGCCAGTACACCGTTTGACCTTTCCCAACAATCATTGTGACACGATTCTCGGGCACGTTGTTGAAGTCTATGGAAGAAACGAGCGACTTTTCTTCGAAAGACTAGCAACGTATTAGTCTTGAGAATAGTGAATGCGGTATAACCTACCTACCATTTAGACACTTATCGGGTAGTGACACGCAGGGAATCTTTCAGTGACAACAGTGTTGGTCTTGCACAACGGAATTTTGACGAGCCAAAATGGTCACTGCCCGGACGCGTCGGGCGCAATGGAGGAAAAGCAGAGGGCTAATGCGGCAAGTGTAAGCCGTAGTCCAGTAGATAGAGTGTTTCATAAGGCGGGTTCACAGTTCTTGTTACAGCAGATTTTCAACGTGTCTGCGTTGGCTTTGCAGGTGGGGGAGTCATGGTTATCGTTGAAGAGGGGTGGTGGAAAAGAGAAATGCTTTAAATCCCGAGTGAAACCGATGTGGGGGTATGGTCACGTGGTGATTTCTAGATGGGTGCCCCACGTTGGGCCGCGATACAGAGCTAGAAAGGGCGAGTTTAATAAATGGTGACATGCCGAATTCTAGCAGGAGGTACGAAAATCTCATTTGTTGATGGCTCTCCGTCCAGATTCTTAAGAAAGTTCCATTCCTGTGGCATGTATTTGAAACTAGACATTTAGAATAATGGGGTTGAAAAAGCATTGCCAAAAATATGTTCCCTGGAGCTTGAAATTGAAAACACGGCTCATGTACCCCGGCCCCGGATGTAAAAGGCCAGCGTCATCATCATGCCAGCGATGCAGTATATGAAAATATGATCTTGACCAGACCAGGAAGGTCTGCTTTCGTTCTCGTTACCTTCTCCATTGCTGCCTTGTCCGCACGGTGGCAGCCTCCATCCGCTACGTGCCAGTCGTCGATGCATACCTTTGCTTATGATCGATTCCAGAAAGCAGTGTTGAAAGTCAGCATTTTCCGATGATAGCACTTGAATCATCATCGATACCACTGCTGGTGATTTCTGGCATCGAACGGAGGCGATGTACGTCTCCCGGTCTTTCAGGAGAGTAGAACTTGGTGCTATATCAAGGTTCTGGAGGTGGAGAAATCGGGGGAAACAGGCTGCCTGTTGGAAAGGCACCCTTGATGAAAATCCCCAATCGATAATGCTTGAGCAATCAGCACCTTGGCTGCGACTCGTGAAAAATCATCACTTACCCTGTGACATTGTGCTGTGCATCTATGAGTATGTTTTGTGGTGATATATCGCCATGGGCAATGGCGAAAGGTGCTTCATCAAGTTCAGGTAAAAGAACATTAGAGAGAATGTTCATTTGGTCGGAGCAATTCTGTTCCGTGATTTCCGGAAGGAGACCCTCGCGGACTCGACGAGTCTTGTTTTGGATTATCCGGGTGAAATGCTTTAGGGAAGATCCCCCTGAAATTGTGAGCAAGGTTTGGTCTGAACAAATAAGGCATTGAACGTACTGGTCTCCTTAGTACATTCAATCAGTGATGTGTGCAACATCGCAACTTGATCCAAGATTTTATTCCGAAGAGGTCGCGTCGGAAATTCATCGGACCATGAAAGCTGGCTGCCCGGAATCCATGTCAATGCGATGAACGGGTATCCGATCGCATTATCGAATGTGAGACTGCAGCCCCGGAGCCTTGCAGCCCATGAGAACCCCTTCAATTCAAGCTCTTCAAGAATACGAGCTTCGGACTCAAGAAGCTGTATAACAGTGTCCTGTGAAGCATGGCGGACAAAAAGAGGCACTCGTACAGCCCAGCTCTCGCCGTCCGTAAAGGTCACCTTGAATACGCGACATTGGCCACCGTCAAAGTACTGAAGCAAGGTAGGAATTTGTTTATCGCTTCGAAGTTGGGATATGGCGGTGGGAATATAATTCTCGTAGAAAGACTGTTGCTGCATAATTTTAATGTGAATGCGGTCAGCCTGACTGTGTTCGTTGTGGTATTTAAGTATTTTCTCGGTCGGAGACTGATAATTGTGGCTGTGCTTGGTGGCTTTCCTACGGCGGACTGAATGTACAAAGCGGCCAAAATAAATTTTTACAATGATTACCTTCCGCCACACTACTACCAAAACTACCACACGCACCACTATGCCTATAGCCTATCTAGCATGCTTATAGAAACTAATGTTTTTATATAAAATATATGGTATCTATATCATATAGATATTGAATGATTCAAATCATCATATAGTAGGGATATCAAATGGTTTGAATCGCCATATGGTAGGGATTCGAATCGTCATATAGTAGGGATATCGAATCGCCATATAGTAGGGATATCAAATGATTTGAATCGTCATATAGTAGGGATTTGAATCATCATATAGTAGGGATTTGAATCATTTGAATAATTATATTATTCATATATTACTATACTTGGGTATATATATTTTAAATATGCAGTGTTAGTAGGTGGGTTCCTATATAACCTTCTATATATATATATTCTACCCATATAGGGCACTACCTCAGCATATAAGGATTCAATATCCCTACCATATAATGATTTGAATCATTCAATATCCTTACTATATGGTGATTCGAATCCCTACTATATGATGATTCAAATCATTTGATATCCCTACTATATGGTGATTCGATATCCCTACTATATGACGATTCGAATCCCTACCATATGGCGATTCAAACCATTTGATATCCCTACTATATGACGATCCAAATCATTCAATATCCCTACCATATGGTGATTCGATATCCCTACTATATAATGATTTGAATCCCTACTATATGATGATTTGAATCCCTACTATATAGCAATAGTCACTAAGTATTTATTTTATAATCATATCTTTGTGGAAGTAGTGGCTATAAGTAATATAAGCAGGTGATAGTAAAAAATTTATTTTGGCTGCTTTATATATTCAGTCCGCTGTATTTCCGCCACCATCCTTTACTTTGTACTGCGGCCCTAGTTGGATAAATATTGAATTAAATTACAGCTTGCCAAATGGAGAAATTCAGCCATTCCTTCATTTAATCTTTCTGTATAGGGATTCAGCCAAGACGATCACAAAATCACTAGAATTCTATGGAATCATGATTATAAATTAATCTTGTTAATGCAGAATCATTTTGAATCTAAATACCTTCATTTCTTAAAGTATAAATAGTGCCTTGATAGTTATTTATTAGAAAGAATTAGACCTTCATTTAATTTCAATCTTATATACAAATTCTTAGTCATTTTAAAATATTACTAGTATAGTTAAATTTAAAAGTTATAAGCCTAGAAGGCTCTTAAGAGACATTTAGGAATTAACTAAGGCCTGCATCCCTGTTTAGTAATTAAATATTAGAATAGTAAGGCATCTTAGAATTAAAAGAGATATCTTACTAGAATTAAACTACCTAATTAGGAAGAATTAAGGCTATATTAATACTGCTATTACCTATAGAGCTAATAATAAAATACTATACTAAATTAATAACTTCTAAATCCACTACAAAGATCCCTATCTCACTTAATATACTAAATAATTAGTAGAAATAGAATTTATACATTCTTAGATTAGTATAAAGTAATAGAGTATTAGATATCTTGCTTAAGAAGTAATCTTAACTAGTTAAACTAATCTATCTAGATAATTTAGATTCTAGATTAACTAATCAGAGAGCTGCTATAGTTAAATAAATAATAGAAGTAGAAGATAATTTATCTTATAATAAAGAGACTATAATAAATTAAGCTAATTAATAGCCTTAAATAAATCTATAGCTATAAATAAGCTAATTAGTAGCTAGTAATCTTAATCTAAAAACCTTATATTAATAAAGAGTAGGCTGCTAGTAATATAAATATAATAAATAAAAGAAAGTAGAGAGAGGTCTTATAATTATCTAGCTAGTTATTAAGTAAATAATAATAACTAAGTATCTTAGTTAGCTAACTAGTAAATTAGATATAGAGATTAAGAAATACTAGAAGTTAAAGTAGAAGCTAGAGCTAAGAAAGAAAGATTAAATCTTACTTATTATAGATTAATATAATAAACTTATTTTAAAGCTAGCTAATCAGAATATTAAGAGATGGCTAGGTAAATAGAAAGATATTATAAGTAATTATAAATAACTTAGAATAACTAATTTTATTAGTAAATTAGGAACCCAGAACTTCCTTAATATATTAAGACTATTAGATAGAAACTATACTAATATTAGACTAAATAATCTAAAGAAGGATAGATCACTAGAGATATTTAATAAGATCTATAATTATTAAAAATACTAGTAATTCCTAAGCTAAAGAGAATAAAAAGCTATATTTATTATCTTTAAAGGATAATCCTTAGATTAGAAGAATTCTAATTTAGCTAATTAGAATTAAGGAAATAAATAGCTAAAGTAAGATAATTATATCTATAAGAAGAAATATCTATTTAATATATATCTATATCTTATTAAATTAAAATATCTAAATAGATAGAAGCTAAATCCAGAGATTAAAACTAAATTTAAATATATTAAGTAATTAAATCTAAAGGTTTATTATATAATAAAAGTAGTGATTAAGTAAGCTAATTAGAAGTAAGAAATAAAGCTAGAATATACTATAATAAGTATTATTTATCTAGATTCTATAGTATTCTCCCTAGGTAATATTAATATATATAAGCTATAAGATAGTTAGATTATTAATTTAAGAGTAGATATTAATATCTATAACTTATAAACTTAGTTCCTTATCTATAAACTAATAGAAGATAAGTATACCTATTTTAGAATAACTAATATATAAATCCTTAGCTATAAAAAGATTAAACTATAGGTAACTAGAATAAATAGGAACCCCTATATCTTAGAACTTAAAAGAGTAGTATATATACTAAAATACTATATAAACTTACTCTTAACCTTTTAGATATTAAATTATAGATATTATCTTAATTAATAGAAGCATGTCTTAGAAGATTAGAATAGAAAACTAATATACTATATAGAGATAAGATATAATCTAGAAGTTATTAAATATAATCTAATTATAAATATCTTTATAATAAATTAATATTCTAAGAAACCTTATAAATTTATAGAAATAAGTAAATAATGGCATTAATAGCTTATATATCTAGGAGATGAGGCTATATAGCATTTAGAAGAGGCTA